GACATGCAAGATCTATTGTTTTAAAATTGAAATGTAAAAGAAAAGGCAAGTCGGCTGCTTTTGTCAATTTTTATTTCAAATATTTGACCACTTGCTTAAGTAATGCATGGAATAATAGCCCTAACTTACGTTGTTTAAAATGTGTTTAAACGTGCATACAAAGAATCGCAATGCTGACACAACTAACAACAGTTCTTAGAAACTTAAATGTGTTTAAGAACTCTTTTTTTTCGTACAACAGCAGCACTCATCTTGTTTGTTTATCAGCGGATGCGGATGAACAGTCGTAGACCGGAAACTAATATGCCGACTTCTGACAATAGCTGAAGTTTGTCGCTACGCTGGTGCAAGTAAGGACAACTCTTTTATACCACGCGCTGGGCACACTGACCATTTTTCCTGCCGTTAAACTAGCAAAAGTGGATTCAGACATGCCATAAGTGCACTTGCGTCATGCGCTTTAGACTATACACTTATAGAAGATGCTGGGCCCTATTTTGGCGATCTAACAAACCGTTTTCAGACTCTTTAGCCTTGTTCAGAATGCCAGTCCAGATCCGATGTTTGTTTATATCTGATTGGAATAAGATCATTCTTAGCAAGTGTGAAGTCAAAAAAAATAAAACAAAATAATAAAACTCACATTTTTACAAATCTGTTTCAAGCTACAATCATGTGGTTTAAAATCCTATTCAAATCTCACTTCTAGAAATCTGTTTCAGACGGACCGTTCTGATGGGATTTTGTGAAGCTTTTCTGCCCATGTCACGTTCTCACGCCACATAACACGTCAGACGTTGTTGCAGAAACAAGGTTGTGCTGTCATCAATGTGTAGGTCACACAGACAATTATAGTATATGCAGACATCTCTGTGGTCCAGTGATTCACAGTGCAGCACAAGCTAAAGCTGTTCATTTCAGCCTCTGTTCAATGCTTCATTAAAACACTCATATGTTTTAATGGGGGGCAACTAGAAAACATTACAACTAAAAAGCCTGTATTATGCATGTCAGGCCAGTAGTTGGCGATGTCACTTTGTCAAGAAACATCCCACAAACACATGCGTGAACATGCATTACTCATGTGCATGACGTCACAGGTTTCAAAGTGCAAGGTTTTAAATGCTTTTGTGAAAACAGTTTTCAAAAGCTTGTGTTCAAGCCCACACAATGCTGTTGTTGAGTAAATGAAAGACCAAAACGCATAAAAAGTTTTCTGTTTTCATTTGAAAACATTGTCGTCGTGTAAAACTACCTTACTACTGTTGTATAAATAAGTAAGTAAGTAAAATGTATTTGTATAGCACTTTTCTCAGATGAAGATCACAAAGTGCTTCACAACAAAAGGAAGCATTGACAACTCTCATAAATACATTGCATCACAAAAACAAAATAAATAAAATAAACAACACGTACACATTAGACCAGCCTAACCACCCTACAATCTAGTTAAAAGTCTAGAGTTTTCAGCTGACTTTTAAATGTTTCCACACAATCCAAGCAGCATATGGAAAGAGGCAAAGCGTTCCACAACCTGGGAGCAACAACTTGGAATGAACGGTCCCCCTAGTTTTAAAATGTGTAAGGGGGGCAACTAATAGTCTCTGGCCTGTGGATCTCAGACTACGTGAGGAAGTACGCAGTTGTATCAGGTCAGAGAGAGATGTGTGGGGGTGCCTGTCCTTTTAGGGCTCGAAACGTTAGGATCAAAATGGCCTTAATGTTAATCATCCAACAAAAGGAAAAAGAGAATAGCCTTCTCCCAAATAGAACTATTCTCATGCAATTTTAGGGACACATAAGGTGTCCCATTCGTAATTTTAGGTTTCAGAAGGGTGCTTGCGAGAGGCATTTCATTTCGAATGTACCTATTTTGATCATTGTTTAGCATATAACCCTTTCAACATGTTTTATGCCTAAAAAACAATTCCCCAATATACACCACATTTGTGTAAAGTAAATATGTTCTTTATGGAAAACAAGATCAAAATACTTCATATTAAAATAATTTTTTCGTTGCAATTCATTGCTGTGGGTTTACTTTGAAATTCTAACCTTGTTGGCAAACCATCAAAGAAGAGGAATATCCACATTGTCTATGTGATAATGATATCAAACAAAACGTAATTACACTGCATCACACAAATGTGCTGTTGTAGTCATGTACCAGACATGGATGCGTCACATAAATAAGGTGATTAGATGGTGAGTAAAAAACATTTTCATGTGATTCAACTGTTGCTAAAACTGACCTCATTTAAACTGAAGTATATGTGATTTTACTCAATTTATTGTAAATTTACAGTTTCTTCACTGAGTTCAGTCTTTGCGCTTTATTGCAATTTACTATAAAATACATTATCAATATTCTGCTTCCTGTCACACAGCCACTTCTTCATTTTCATTCTATTGCCCCTTGCTGTTTTGTGTGTTGTTTAGCAGAGCAGTTATCCATACTGGGCGACTGTGACTCAAACCCTGCAACACGTCAAACCGGTTCAACATTCATAGAGGGAGCGGTAAGCCTTCTCAAACAATAAAAACAGAGTCATACCTAACAGCACTACATTACACAGTCATTTGTAAGCTTACGCCATTTATACATCTGAAAACCTTAATCTCCTTCCTTTTTAGATTTACATATTTAGCAGATGGTTTTATCCAAAACGACTAACAAAAAAGGAGTTTGTCTTAACAGCCAACAATATTCATAGTGAAAAACTTAGTATACAACTTTTCCTACTGATTTGTTTGAACAGCTAATATTTCAAAATAAAAGTCCATGTGTAATTTGGCTAAACTATTTCACTATGGTATTCCTAAACATTACAGGAAGAAGAACAACTCCATAAAGAGGATTAAAATAATAATAGTTTGTTTCTCATTTACTGTGGGATAAACCCTGAGCCTCATTCAAAGGTAAAAGGTAAAAGTCTGGGAGTGGTTGGGAAAAACATGATCAAAGATAACTCACGCTCAGATTGCTCAGGAGTGAGAACCAGGACAGAAACTTGATCTGAATCAGAAAGGTGTGCTGAATCTGTCACGGTCAGTTTGAACTCATACAGCCCAGGCTTCAGGTTGGACACCCTTAACTGGTCCGAAAAATCAGTTTTCTGTGGAACAGTTGTTTAGAAACAGATCAGATGTTGGGTTGTATTCCTATTATGCCATAAAACAACAGTGAGTCATAGGTGACTGCTACTTGTCACCCATGTGTCAAGTCTTTTGCTACTAGTCATCCGATCTGGGTCTTAAAGCCAAAGCCACTGAGAACACATTGGGAAAACGGCATTTCATTCCACTAAATTGCACTAAAATGATCATTAGTCCCAATTAAAGGGATATTCAGCCAAAAATGTCATCATAACTCTTCCACCTAACACAAAAAAATATTTTGAAGAATGTTAGCAACCAAACAGTTTTGGTTACATTTGACTTCAGTGTGAAAAAAAAAAAAAATGTTGTTCTTAAGAAGAAAGTCAAGTTTAAAACTACAAGGTGAGTAAATGACAGAATTTTTTTTGGGGTGAACTATTAATTTAAGACCTCAAAGAAACAATTCTTCATTAAGCTTTTAAATTAATCTTAGCATCATGAATGGAAACATAATTACATAACAACAACATTATTAATATCATAACATGTCTGATCATATTCTCATACCTCCATTTGGACAGATTCATCTCCACGGATGAGACTCCATTCGTATTTTTCGATCTTCCCATCATCCCAACTTTCTATGCCATTCAGAAACACCTCCTCATCAGGCTGGACCACCACATCTCGTCCAGCATTGGCAATGGGAGCTTTGTCCTTATCTGAAGAAATTTCATATTACTGTTAAAATGACAATCACTCAGATTTCAATAAGAATGAAATTAATTTGATTGCACCTACAGTAGCTTGATTAAAGACACATAGTCCATCTTTTATATCTGATCTTCAGATCAGAACCCTCTAGAGAACCCTAAGCACCCTTACAAAAAGGGCATTTCTCAGAATCACAAGATGAAACCCATATATTCCTTCCCAAAATTCCTACCCATATATACGTGTGGAATGGGTAAAAAAAAAAAAAAAAAAAAAAAAATGCAAGTTTTACAATGTTGTACCAAACCTTTCGTTTGTCTTCGGAAACACAAATGAAGATATTTTTAATGAAATTGGAACGAATTTTGTCCCGCCATTGACAGCTACACAACTAACACTTTGACACATCAAAAGTTTGAAAGATATAGTAAAACTAATCCATATGAATATGTGAAAAAAACCTAAATTTAATCTGATTAGCATAAAAAGTGACCTAACTGCTCAATTCACATGGATTAGTTTTATGATGTTTTAATGAACTTCAAAGTGGTAGTTGCTTAGCTGTCAATGGAGGGACATAATCGCTCAAATATTATTTAAAAGTATTGTTTTTTGTCATCATTAAATGACATAATTTAATTTTGTTTGGTGAACTATATCTTCAAGTATTTGTGGATGAATGCAATTAGCCCATGTAGCCTACACCTATTCAAAACTACAAATAAATAAGCTTTATAAAAGGTTTCTATTTTAAAAACAAAAAGAGAGAAACACAAAGCCATTTTAAGACAGTCTAAGATGATTTGCTTAGTTGGGGTCTTGGCTGTTTTTTTTGTTTGTTTGTTTTTTTTTGTTTTTTTGTTTGTTTTTTATAGATATTCTGGACACTCCAGGATGAACCAGCTGAGCAAACTGAGAGACCAGACCAGTAAACCAGCAAAACAGCTTAGGCTGTTAGGCTTACGCATGGGTGGTAATGTTTTATAATAAGCATAATAAAAAAAAATGTGAAAGTAGCCTGAATAAAGTTTACCAGATTTGCGGATGTTCAGGTAGTTTTCATAGACTGAATCCAATACATAAATTTTAAACCCCTCCTTATGGAAAAATCTGCAGACATATTTATCCTTGTATAGGCAGTTGAAGAGAAAGCAGCCCTTCTCGTTTCCTTGCTCTACGAAGGCCAAGTTGCATCTGGGATGCCCGCAGCACGCAACAGTGCACGCGAGACTGTCCTCGACGCCAGGGTTCGCCAGGAAAACCGCCCCATCGTTGATCGACTCTTCCGTGTCCAAAACAAAGTCTTCCCGACCTTCCATGAAAGTCTTTATACATTCTTGGTCTTCTGCAGACACCTCGCTCTGGGTTTCTCTGACATAAAAACCTACAGTAAAAAGTAAGCATGCGAAACGAAAGCACCACGAACCCATTTCTGACGGATTTAAAGTGAGACCCTGATTTACTTGCGCATACAGTCCTCAAAATAACTCCAATCCACTTGAGCTGTAGTGTCAGCCGAACTGACTGGTAAAAATCGCTTATCTTTATTTCTTGTCACTAAAATTCATTCAAATTCACGGGTCTCCTGTCGAAAGATGTCCCGAGAACCCCATTCGCCTGATTTCTTCCTGCTTCAGCGCTCAGGTGTGTTGTTTTACCTGTGAGAAAATTAAGCACTGACGTAGTTTGTGGCCGTGTCTCAATCCCGTGTCAATGCCCTACATAGACAGCATTTTGGCTAGCAGGTGTTTTGACACTTAATTTCCTTTTATTAACTAAATAAAAAGTTAATTTTAAATTCTATATAATCTACCTGTATTCCTAAAAGTGGACTCTTCACTCAATGGTAACCACAAAAGCCAGTTAAAATGCATTTGTCATGCAGCCCGTTTGTCATTTCATTTATCAAACATGCACACACTTTCACTTTCTTAAAGTAATAGTTTACAGAAAATTAAAATTCTGTTATATTCACTCACTATATGTTAACAAAAATGAAACCAAGACTAAAACTAGGCTACCCACTTAAAAAATTTGGGTTTAAAATAACCCAACTATGGGGTTGAATAGCATCTTCCCAGCTGTTGCACTGGGTTAAACTCCAGACCTTATTTTAATTAATAAAACACACATTGGTTTCAAATACAGATTGTTTATTTGTATAAAATAAATGCATATGTAAATTTCAAACTATATATTGGTGAGTCTAGCATTTAATGTAAATATACATAATTGTGTACACAAATCCAAAATACACAAGTGTACACACATAATAAATTCAAAACCATTGGAAATATGTACAAACAGTACACATTCAAAACCTACACAAAAATGTACAAATACATAAAATATACAGTATACAGCACACAAAAATTCAAAATGAACACTTTAAAACTACACATATGTTAATAACCTACATTTAATAACCAAATATGGACACCATACAGATTAATAACATAAAATCCTAATCACAAATCTTTATTAAAAGGTCTTCACTGTACTCTGAATGCATTGATGTATTGTTGTAAACATATTAAGTAATTAAAACTATACAAAATGACTACTGGACCTAATGATGATGATGATCAAAGTTCTTAATGTGGCAGGAACTCCTCCGGATATATTAAAGTTGGCATGCTACAAAAACTCCCCAAATGGGTGCAGAGGTCCTGAAATAGTTTGTCATAGATTTAAAACATTTTTTTAACACATCCATTGCTTGAAATAAAGTCTCCTGTTAAACAGTTTTAAATGATGAATAAGTAACATCAAAGCAGGGCTGTATTGAATTAAATAATTGGCCACTCTAATGAGTCATTATACATGCTGTTAAAGGGTTAGTTTAAACTCTGTCCTTAATTACTCGCCCTCATGTCGTTCAAAACCTGTAAGACTTTCGTTCTTCTTCAGAACACAAATTAATATCTTTTTGATGAGTCTTAAAGAGATTTCTGTCCCTCCATTGACAACCACGCAACTATCACTTTTAAGCCCCAGAAAGGTAGTAAAGACATCATTAAGGTAATACATGTTACTCCAGTTGTCCCTTAAATTTAGGAACTTACTGTGAATGTATTGGGCAATCGGGGAGCTGTCCATGTCTCCCATAGGTGGATCTCGAACACGAGATGATGAAAGAGAACAATAGGTTACTGTCGTAACCCCGGTTTTCTGAAACACAGAGTGGAGAGATCCACCAGCTTTGCCCCACTTGTCCCAAGAGAAGTGAGTATACTTTCTGGAAAAAAAGCAGCGCTTGCGGGCATTATATGCCCTCAGGTAAGGGGGCAGGGCCTTATTGGCTGTGCGCTTCTGTCTGTCTAGCCAGACAGTGCAATTGGATGCTTCTGCAGAGGTCAGGTACGAACGCCCTTCCCATAGGTGGATCTTGAACACGAAATGATGAAAGAGAACTTCTGCTACTGTGCTGTGAAGAAGGGACAGTGTTCCATAATATGTGTCCTCACACCGACACACTTTGGTTCTTCTTTCTGCTGCTCTTACACATTCAGCCAGACAGAATGGTCTTTATATCCATACCAGAAGCGAAGCGATAATAACCTATTCAAACTTGGCACATCTCCAAGCCAAGACCAAGGTACGGAAAGTATTGATCATGGAAAAGCTATTCAAGAATTGGGCTCTTTAGTGACAGCAGGCACTGCAACTCAAATCTAGAGATCACTATTGTTTTTTCGAGATAAAAAGATGGCAATGATATTATCAGCAATTTGCAATTTTTTTTTGTTCAATGTTAATTTTATTCATATATCTCACTAATACAACCCAAATGACTAATGTGCTTTACAACAATTTAAATAAAAATTCCTTGGATATCTAAGTCCACTAAAGGAGGGAGGGCGTTCTTACATTTAGCTCTTAAACTCTGGAACAGCCTTCCTGATATTGTTCGAGGCTCAGACTCGCTGTCCCAGTTTAAAAATAGATTAAAGATGCATCTCTCTAGCCAAGCATTCACATAATGCTTACCTACTGCTGTTGAATCAGATGAAATGCATTAGGATTATGAACAGCAGCTATGCTAATTATTTCCCATCTGCTTTTCTGCTGTTATCTCAGGACACTAGTCCTGTGGTAAATAGCGTTTGTCAGCTCCAGTTTGCATCCTGCCTCTCATGAGACTTCAGATGCCCCAACACCTGCGATGAGATGACTAAACTCCTGTGAAGAGACGATTCAACACCGGCGATATGTTATGCTCTACATTAATAAATTATTAACTAATTCAGAACACAGTGGGATGGCAGTGGCTCATGTAGATTGTCTACAAACCAGAAGGTTGGTAGTTCAATCCCCGGTTCCACCTGGCCAAGTGTCGAGGTGTCCATGAGCAAGACAGCTAACCCCAGCTGCTCCCGACGAGTTGGATGGAGCCTTGAACGTCCCGTTGAATGACATGGGGAGGCGGGGGTTATGACCTATACTAGGACCGGTCACAGGGGGGCGATTGAGACGTTTTGGCTTCACTTTACTTGTGCGGCACGCTTGGTTGGGAACTGGGCTACACTATACAAGTGGTTTGCTTGCAATTGGCAAAGGTGCATTATCGCCACCAACTGGGCTGGAGTGTCTATTATTCAAGCTCTCAACGGAAGAATGTCCGGCTGATAGGCGTTCGGAAAAATTGGTCTACAGTTTTATAACGAATGGTAAAACACCTGTTGGAAAGCATCTTTTGCTGCGATTTTTGTGTGACCATATCAGTGAAACAATCCTAACCATTCTATTTCATCAAAACGATCCTAACAGGCTTTAATTGTAAAATACAGAACTTGTCTTTTAATGTAGAAAAAAAATTATTACAATCAATTAACTTATAAAATATTAGTTTGTCCAGTGAACACTCACCTGTTTGTCCAGTGAACACTCAGTGTTAATTGTTTATTAATTCTAAGAAATGTTTATTTCCGCGGTGAGGGAAATGGCTATCTTACTGCCTTACTGTTACTTGGAAGTCGATCACGAAGAGTTTTCAAAATCAGAGAAAAAAGCCTATTGTGTGTTGTAAATGGTTTCTAGGGGATGTGGAGGCGCACGCACTGTTACAATCATGTCATTTTTGCCGCACGCACCTTTGGGCTCATGGGCACGTTGAGTTTAAACAAGGCTTTACGCTTTGACCAGCTCAGCCACAGTAACAGCTCATATTTAGCCAGCTACAGTCATGGTCAAAATTGATGGCACCCCTGGTAAATATGATTAAAACTGGCTGTAAAAAAATAAATCTGCATTGTTTATCCTTTTGATCTTCCATTATAAAACAAAATTCTAACTTTCTATACTCTCTACTTTCTACTCTCAAAATTCTATTCTTTCATTGAAGTAAAAGAATTGAAAGTGGGGGTAAATCACATTATGAAATAAATGTTTTTCTCCAAAACATGCTGGTTATAATTGTTGGCAACCCTAGAATTTTTTATGAGAAAAAAATCTCTGAAGTTGTCACATCCGGTCAGGAACGAGACAGAGAGCGAATCCAATCGCAAGCATTTATTAATAACACTAACCGATAATCCAGGGAACTCAGAACAGGACAGAGAAACAGGCAGGAACCGAGTGACATTTAAACAACAACCGACAACCAACAACTGAAACACAGGGGTATAAATGCACAGACAAACAAGCTAATCAAGCTAACAAGGGGGTGTGGTAAATAAGAAACACCTGTGGACACTGAGCAACATCATAACAAAAGACAAGACACATGGTAGGATCACATGACAAACCAGGAAACACGTGATACACAAAGCAAAACAAAACCCACAACGTGACATAGCCTCCCCCCTATGGGCGGCTCCCGACGCCCCTAGTGTAACACCCAAAACAAAACCCAAAACACAAGTTCAGGAGGGTGGTGTTTCTGGAGGTGGTGTTTCAGGAGGTGGTCCTGGGGGAGGGAAGGAGGGCCAAGTCTGTGCAGGAGAACAGGACCAGACTTGGAGCAGACGACCAGGCGAAGGCCAGGGCGGAGCAGGACCAGGCGAAGGCCAGGGCGGAGCAGGATCAGGCGACGGCCAGGGCGGAGCAGGACCAGGCGAAGGCCACGGCGGTGAAGACCCCTCGGGCGGCCACGGCGGTGAAGACCCCTCGGGCGGCCACGGCGGTGAAGACCCCTCGGGCGGCCACGGCGGTGAAGACCCCTCGGGCGGCCACGGCGGTGAGAGCCCTTCAGGCGGCCGTGGCTGGGACACTGGGCCCCCCCCCAAAAAATATTTGGGTTGAGTCCCCGGGTGAAGGGCAGATGGGGAGTGGATGGTCTCGGGCTGGACGGTCTGGACGGTCTCGGGCTGGAGGGTCTGGACGGTCTCGGGCCGGACGGTCTGGACGGTCTCTGGCTGGACGGGCTGGACGGTCTCTGGCTGGATGGGCTGGACGGTCTCTGGAGGGCTGGACGGAACCAGCAGTAAAGAGCATCCAGTCTCTGGAGAGCTGGACGGAGCCAGCAGTGAAGAGCCTACCGTCTCTGGAGGGCTGGACGGAACCAGCAGTGAAGAGCCTACAGTCTCTGGAGGGCTGGACGGAACCAGCAGCGAAGAGCATACAGTCTCTGGAGAGCTGGACGGAACCAGCGGTGAAGAGCATTCAGTCTCTGGAGAGCTGGAAGGAACCAGCAGTGAA